TATATTGCCTTCCCATTGGAATGCTATTATCTCTTTTCCTGCATAAATTGTGTCACCAGGGCCGGATTATGACCTTTTGGGGCCCCTAGGCTAATGAAATTATGGGGCCCCCTCAGAATATTTTTTACTTGTGATATATTTTAGCGACATTTACATAGCTTGAAGTAAACTTATTCCAAATTCTTTAAATAAACTAGCATAACTCTCTTTTGTTTGTCAATAAAAATATTCTTTAAATACCACTATTTTACTATATTTCAACACAACCGTAGTGAAAAAAAAAACAGATTTTTTATAACCAAGCCCCTCAAGCTTGGGACCCCCAAGCTTGAGGGACCCTAGGCTGCAGCCTATACAAGCCTACAGGATAATCCGGCCCTGTGTGTCACCAGTTTTGAGTGGGCAGGGAATGGATCTTGAGCATGGAAAGAGTGTCCTCCCTGGAGCCAGCATTTTTTCTGTCAGGGCTCATGGATATTATATTTCACCCTTGTTTACTAGTGAAAATAATTTTTAAAAACCTGCTCAAATGTATACTAAATCTAATCTTCCTCCAAGATTTTTTTTCACTTACGGTGAGTTATTCCTGTCACTCTCGCCTTTGGCTGAATTTTTCCTGATGGTATATTTCTGTCACTTGACTTTCAGCCAAATTTTTTCATGACATTACAGTCATGTCAACGAGATCCAATGGGTTAACAGTAATTATTGTAATAAAGATAAGAACTTTCCTTTATGAAAATTCAAGGAATGGGTAAACAGGTGAGATAATGAAGGCCTAGACTTTTTGATAACTAAGTACATCTGGAGCCAATTATGTGTAAGTAAAATCAGTAAACTGATGGTTCACTGGACAGCATGTATATTGGGGAATGGGTTAAAAGTGATCACTGCATACATCCAGTCTCTGTAATCTGTCTTTCCCATGACTAAAATTGTTAATATTGGGTAAAGAGATGTGTAGCTCTAGTTCATGATGTTGCTTGTGACATTGAATGCTTTTAAGTTGGACATGTTTTTGTCAAAACTTCATTTTTTACATTTGTTCCAAAAGTGCCATATTTGAATTGTAGTACAAACAGTATGTTAGGTCAGACCAGGCTGTAGGCATTAACTCTATTTCTTTTTTTCAGATCCTTCTACTAGTATATCTTGTCCCAGTCTTTGCAAGACTTGCTGGGTTTCCAGTTACAGAACTACATTTGACACACAACTTTGCTTCATGCTTTGTGATATTTTTGACAGTTCAGTATATTTTCCTTTGTGTTCCACATGTATTCAGATTTCTGAAGCATGTCTATAGTTCTTTAGTAGTAATGCTTGAACTGTATGGACCACTGGGAGTTGTGATGACACTCTGGAGTAGACTTTTTGTTCCTATACAGTTACTTCTCTTCTGGTTGATGCTCTTCACAACTCAACTTTATAATCACTATCTCCCATCCCAAGAAACAGCCATAGCAGCAAAATCATCAACTCTGTCTTCACAAAACATTGCTTCAGTGACAAGTGGAGGAACAGTAACATCACCAAGTGCAACCTCAACAGTGGGAGGAACATCATCTGGAGAGATGTGGTATTTGGTGTTTGTGCAGAGTGCGGCTGAAGTGTGTTATACACCACTTATGTTAGCTGGCACTTGTGTAGCTGTGTCTTATGCTTCAAGGTTAATTCTAGCTCTTACTAGAGCTTATACAGCTGGGCCAGGTGCTGCACCACTGCCAGATGATCTTGTCCACTCAGGGTGGACAGAAGGGGTCACAATGGCCTTGCTGGCAGTACAGACCTCATTGTTGAGTATGGCCATGCCAGAGAGGTTGGCAGTGCTGTCAATTATTTTGTTGATTGTTGTCTCTTCTCTTGTGCAAAGTATGTATGAGTTGGTGGAACCAGTAGTTTTAGCCCTTAGTGCCCAAGGAGTGGCATCCATATCAAGGCATGTTCGGGCTGTATCAGCGTGTCTGCTTTTATTGTTCTTGCCACTGTATATGGTTTACATGTTTACACTAATATTTGAACAAGACTTTTGGCTTTTGTTAGTTGTGTCCACCTGCATCATGACTTCTGTACAAGTATTAGGGTTGTTGGCTACTTATGTACTCCTTACTTGGGATGCTGTCTGTGCACAGCCTTGGCCAGGTTTAGATGATCTAGTTTATTACACTCGTGCTACAACAAGGGTGTTTGAGTTCATAGTTGCTGTATTTGTTGTTGGAGCAGGGGGAAAAGAATCTATTACTGGTCAGTGGTCATGGATCAATGCTGTTGTACTGCTTATTCATTGCTACTTTAATGTCTGGCAGAGACTCCAACAGGGATGGAAGAGTTTCCTTTTAAGGTTAGAGGCAGCTAAAAAGATATCAGCACTACCTGAAGCTTCTGTAGAACAATTACAGAATTACAATGATGTATGTGCAATCTGTTATGCAGAAATGTCCACAGCCAGGATCACACATTGTCAGCACTATTTCCATGGCCCTTGCCTTCGTAAGTGGTTGTA